TGACAGGTATTGCCCTGATTTCTTTTTGTACTTTAAGTTACTCACTGCTTATAAAAAATAACTACCCAGGGATGCTTGGGTGGCTCAGTCGGTTAAGCGTCCAACTCTTGGTTTCGGCCCAGGTCGGGATCTCAGGGTCATGAGATTGAGCCCCATGTCGGGCTTCATGCTCAGCATGGAATCTGCTTGAGGTCCTCTCTCTCCCTCTGCCCCACCCCTTACTCTCTCTCTCAAAAAAAAAAAAATAAATCTTTTAAAAAAGAAATAATTATCCATATTTTACAAAGGTTAAAACCAAACTCTAGATAAAAGTTCACAGTGTTAGTTTATGGTAGAGATGAGATTTGAAACTAGGTCTACCTAATTCTAGCTATTTCCATAGTATGAAATGTCCCAGAGACAGGACCTCCTCACTTCCTGCATCTTTATCTGTTATGGAGAATATAAATTCATTTTCCCTTTAACCTATTGTCTGGTCACAGCCAGTCAGAATTTCTAATAAAAAAAAAAAATCCAAGCCCGTCAAAAAGTTACTCTTGTCCTAATATGAGGCTCTTCTATAAATTTGCCGACAAATTTTATTTTGAGGAGATTTAATTAATTAATTTATTTATTTATTTGACACACAGAGAGAGAGAAAGAGCACACAAGCAGGGGGAGCAGCAGAGGGAGAGGGAGAACAGGCTCCCCACTGAGCAGGGAGCCCGATGCGGGGCTCGATCCCAGGACCCTGGGATCATGACCTGAGCCGAAGGCAGACGCTTAACCGACTGAGCCACCCAGGTGCCCCAAATTGTTGTTTTATAAGATCCACAGCAGTTGGTATCCTGACAAAAGTGAGCACAAGCAATGGGGGAGGTATTATCTTCTAAATCTTTCAATGGTCAGGGGTTATTTGCCTTCTTCAGAGCATACTTTACACTCATTTGAAGCTCTTGGCTTTTCCCTAATCCTTCCATAACATGGATCTCTTCCTAAATGCCTGTGTCGTTGGGTTCATTTTGAACATGTAATAGAGCACTGAGGATGGATCTGAATAATAAAGGAGGAGAAGGACAAAACCAGTAAATATGCCCTATAGAAGCCACCCTTACATAGGAAGCAGTATGAAGATGATACATAAAACTACTACCCAATATTGTGTGTAACACACACACATATGTATGCGTGTTGTCCTAGGGTATATATTGAAGTGACAAAAGAGACTTTAGTTTATTATTTTATGCATTTCCAAAAATGGTAGAATTTTATGGGATTTTACATTTTCTTTTGTGTTTTTGTTTTTTTAAACTAAAACTTTTTATTTTATATTTTTTAAAGATTTTATTTATTTATTTGACAGAGAGAGAGGGAGAACACACAAGCAGGCAGAGGGAAAGGGAGAAGCAGGCTCTAGGGAGCCCAACACAAGGCTCGATCCCAGGACCCTGGAATCATGACCTGAGCCAAAGGCAGATGCTTAACCGACTGAGCCACCCAGGCGCCCCAAACTAAAACTCTTTTTAAACAATAACGACACCACCTAACAGGCCACCTCCAGCCAATTCCACATTCTATTCCTCCAAAACTATTTTCATGGTGTCATCAGTCTGCTGAATGTCCAAAATAAAACTCTCATCTTGATTTTTTTTTTTTTTTTGTAGCAGGCATCTCTAGGGATGTCAACTTCTACTCTGAGGAGTATCCTCCCACATGGGGGAGGGAGAATCTTTGCAATTTCTACTATATGACTGTCCTCCCCCACTTCTGGCCATAGCAATTGATCAAAGGTGGACACATAATCCAGGGTATAGCAATTCATTCCTCTTTTCTGATTATTTGAAATTGGTATTCAAAGATATTCATCTCTGTTGATGGCTTGAACTGAGGAAGCAATAGCCTATAAGCAATAGGTTGGCTATCTTACACAAGAAGATGGAGAAAACGTAAGTCTGCCAAAAGGACATGAAGCAGGCAAAAAAGACAGAATTTTTAAAAAGCCTATGAGATATGAGGAGATGTCTTAAAGAAAGACAGTGGCCCAAGAGCAAGCACAAGGAAGACTACCCTGGTTCCTAATAGCATGCTCATTTTTGGTTCTCAACCTTCTTAAGGCTGAAATGTATCCTTGACCATGGTTCCTCGTAATAATGTTCCTTATATTTACTTACACTTGTTTGAGTTGGCTTCTATCACTTTTTATCCGAAGCTCCTTGCCTAAGATAATGAATTACAACTTTTCTGCCTGGCCTACAGTAGAACAGCAACAATATGAATTTAAATGAAGGCTAACATACAAAGGGTATCTCAGAGTTACAGACAGCTGAAGGAATTGATCTCAGATTTGTGATCTCCTCAACAACCTGTAGTCCTTTTACAATATATGTATTTCTACTGTTGCATGTTTAACAGTGGTCTTTAGCCATTTCCCCTTTGGGCTTGTTGAGGGGAAGATTAAGTCTGTGGACTCTCTTCTACATGTAAATCCATATCCTACAAGGAGGGGTTCAGTGAAAACCTAAACATGCTTCTTTGGTATTTGTGTTTGCACAAAGCTGGGTATTCTATTTTGTGGCTGTATCAGAGTATCCTAGAGGATGCAGGAAACGGGAAGTCTTCTTTCATGGCCAAGAAAACCCATGAAATCACAATCAAAAGAAGGAAGGAAGGAAGGAAGGAAGAAAAAGAAAGAAAGAAAGAGAAAGAAAGAAAGAAAGAAAGAAAGAAAGAAAGAAAGAAAGAAAGAAAGAAAGAAAGAAAAAGAAAGAGGGGCACCTGGGTGGCTCAGTCGGTTAAGTGTCTGTCTTCAGTTCAGGTCATGATCCCAGGGTCCTGGGATCGAGACCCACGTCAGGCTCCCTGCTCAGTGGGGAGTCTACTTCTCCTTCTCCCTCTGCCTGCCACTTGTGCTCTCTCTCTCTGTCAAATAAATAAATAAAATATAAAAAAATAGGAAAGAAGGAAGGAAGAAAGAGAAAGAAGGAAGAAAGAAAAGGAAAAAAGGAAGAAAGAAAAGAAAAAAGAAAAAAGAAAAAAGAAAAAGAAAGAAAGAAAGAAAAAAAGAAAGAAAGAAAAAGAAAAAGAAAAGAAGAAGAAACAGCTGCTTCACTCAGATTGATTGCCTAGGTCAATGCTTAACTTGATTTATGTACATCATCAATAAAAGTGAGTTCTGACCCAGTGGCAATGATAGCTCCGAGATAAATGAGGTGTCTGTGTATGTGTGAATCATAACCTGTTAAGCCTTTCAGAAACAGAAAGCTACCTCTCTCAAATATAAATATTAGTAAAAGTATTTCCTCCAACTTTTTTCATTCATTTGAGATGCTGCGTTGGGATAACTGGGCTTTCAGTTAAGGCTATTTAACTACTGTGCCTTGATGTTGATTTTCTGTGTATGTTTCTCTCTTCCACGTAAGACAACAATAAAATAAAAGAAAGAAAAATGAAAAAAATCCCCGGAATAAAAAAAAAAAAACACGGAGTGACAAAGTAATAAAGTTTACTATGTCCCAGAGCCAAGTTCACTTTGGACTTCCTGCCCTTCAAATCTTTTTCATCTCCATGGGCCTTCACTGAATATAGAAGCCATTAATCAGACCTTAGCTCCTGGGTACCAGGAACAAGGCAATTTTGGCCCCCAGCCAGACAGAATACAATCTGACCTATGTTGACCGATCGGTCTATTTGCCACTCTCCATGCTGGAAATAACAGGGTTAGGTTGACTGTGACACGTGGAGGTGATCCACTGAAATTGACAATGGGGAGAAGGGAGCCACTTCCTTCTCCCTTATCCTCCCCGGAAACCCTCCAGTGGGGCACAAAGGTGACAACTGGAAGAACTCAGGGCAGCAAGAGGACCGTGAACAGACCAGACAATGTCTGTAGGAGCGTGCCTCATTCACGTCAGAGTCTGTCGGGTGTGTTAGAAGCAAGTGTCTGAGATAATATTTCACTTCGTCTTTCTATCTTTCCCGCAGTGGGAGCTCGTCCTATGTGCCTTGTCCCCAGCCTTGGTTGCCACAACCAAGTCCTTCAGTCAGGCTGGCACCACCAACCCCCCGGCACAACCAAACCCCCGCCCCCCCCCCGGCCTCTATTATTCTAGCGGCCTTCTGTGGGGTCTCCCTCTGCTGCAGTCAATCTTGTTTACTATTGCTATATTTCATCTTCCCCAATGTCATTTTCTTCACATTTATCTCATCCGAAATCTCCTACAGTAGATTCTTCTCAGCCATTGAATCAAATTGAAATTCTTCCCCCTGCTTCCTTTCCCTAGACCGCCATCCCGCCCCTGCCCCACCCCCACCCCATCACTGCTTTTCTCATCCTGCCTTTTATAATTTCACCCTCAGCCTTCCCCTTACAAACAGGTGCCCCGCTTATAGTAGAAATAGGGCAGGTGTGAACCAGAGGATGTCCGCGAGGCATTTCCATTCTTTTTTAAATCGCCATCTTTAAAAATAGAGGCTGAGTGGAAGGGAAGTGTCAAGGAGAAGGGACAGCCAAGGAGGCAAAGCACCGAGACAAACCCTGGCCCGCTTGAAGCCAGCTTCCAGACTGCCTATTGCTACCCGGCGAATGTCTCCCATCCTCTCCAGTGTTGCTGTGGCCTCTGGGCAAAGACGGTGTTAGGAAATGCCAACTATAACCCATATTTCGAGTGTGCCACTCATTGACGCCTAATGGCCCTTGAGGCTGGGACTGGAGCCCTCTACCTTATGCATGAGGAAAGTAAGGGACTATCTGTCTCCGAACCGGATGCCCTTCCCCTTACTGTGCTCTCTTCTTTTTTTTTTTTTTTTAAAGATTTTATTTATTTATTTGACAGAGAGAGACACAGCGAGAGAGGCAACACAAGCAGGGGGAGTGAAGGAGGGAGAAGCAGGCTTCCCGCTGAGCAGGGAGCCTGATGCGGGGCTCGATCCCAGGATCCCGGGATCATGACCTGAGCCGAAGGCAGACGCCCAACGACTGAGCCACCCAGGCGCCCCTGTGCTCTCTTCTTAAAGGAGGTAACATGCAAGTGATCTATACTGATTACATCCCCTCCCCCACCCATCTTCTTCCTCTGCAGGGGAACTGTGTTAAGAAGGGAAGGTCATGAAGGTAAATTGTCTCCCTCTCAGTAGCGCCTGTAGAGGTCTTTCCCTGGCTCGGAAATCAGGGAACAAAGGAACTCACAAATTCTTATCCGTAGCCACTTGGCCCCCACAAACACACCTGTGGGTAAAATCAAAATGCAATGATTACTTTTAAAATTGAAAATGCAAATGAATCTCCATTAAATGTAATTACTTATCATTTTAAACCTAAAATATAATGTGTTGATAGAAAAAGAGATTTAAAAGGGCTATTGGAGGTTATTTGATCTTTAGTGGCCTGTAGAATATTCTCACTATTGCTTGCATTGTAAGTGAGCACGGCTGCTCTCTTCCGTAGCAATTCCTACTTCCCCACCAGATTATTCAAGTGCAGCATCAGGAGCAGATTGAACCCTTCGGTTCCTCACTCTAGATTTTCTTCTGTCGATGCAGCTGAAGGAATTATTGCCTTCTCCAGCAGCTACATCAAACTACCGATGCATACTGAATCTAAAAATCAGGCAAAAGCACTAAAGAGATTTTCGTGTACTGCTGCTAAGTCCCACTTCCTGCAGTGCCTACTTACCAAGCTGGGCTGCTTTCTTGGGTGGGGGCTTAGGTCATTCTCGTGCAGTATCTCATGGTTCTCTCTGCGAAAAAAGTGTCTTGTTTCATTCGGCCTGTGAAGACACTAGTTAAGGATGACACCCAGTTTTCTGGCTTTGGTAACAGCAAGGCAGTTCGCAGAGACAGGGAAACTCAGGCAGGAGAGAGAAACTCAGGCTGGAGGGTGCAAGAATTGCATTTATTTTGAATGTGTTGAGTTCGAGCTCCCTGTGCAAATCCAAGGACAGAGGTTTGGGGCTCCGATAGGGCTCTAGGAATCATGAGCTAATTGGTAGGAATTGAAGCAACAGAGTGAAGTCATCCAGAAGATCAAATGCTTAGGAATACAACAGTTAGGATATAGTTTATATTGGCATAGGGAAATGAAACTCAAGGTTGCAAGGAGCAGTCAGAGATAGAAAACATTCTATAGAATTACGGAGCAAGAGTATTTCAAAAAGTAATGAAAAAGTAATCAATTGTGTCACGTGCCACAAAAGGATGGTTGGGGAGAGGAGTGATCTGAGTAGTCTATGCCTAGACAGTTTCCCCCATCTCCCTTAGCAAGGAAAGAAATGGCCCCATAGAACTTTTCTTGGTGACTTCGTGCTGGATTCAAAGGATCATTGCTTTCTCTAATAAGAGCTTATAAACCACCCCTTTCTTAACCCCTTCTAAATTCATTCACAACTCTGAACACATATCCACTGATCTATAAAGGATCCATTTTCTTCTCCTTATTAATAATCGGAATGGCAGTCCCCTGTTCAAATCTTTTGATATATTTTCCCATTCTCGATAATCAACAATCTTACCTATAAAATCTCTCAGAACCCTGGTGTGTGATACCTCTGGACCATGAGCTGTACATGTATTTAGAAGAAAGAAGTGTCCTTCAAAAAATTTTCCCCACATTTCCTGGATTTCTCTTCCCCCTTCCCAGTATTCCTTCTACCATTCTTATAAAAAGATTATTCCTTTCCACTAAAGGACATGAGCAAAATAGTTTGACTTTTAAAAACTCAAATGCCTTCAAGATAATCCAGTTAATTTGTCAGTAGAATAATGTCAGTGGGTTTCAAAACTCTAAAGGTAAAGGTATATTCAAGTTCATTCCTAATAGCCTGCAGAGAACTATTGATACTCATGTTCTATTAGCTATAACAGGGACACATGCCTAATTCCATTCAAATTACATTGAAACTTCACTGCATCATATCTTCAGATAGCAGATTTTTATCATCATGCTTAACGCAATTAAATCTTCAAGCATTCTCATAAATTATTAGCTACAAAGACCAGACTGCACCTTTACCTATAAAGCCTAAAGAAAGAGCAATCCTATTTTAAGGCAAAATTGAAGATTAACACAGTACTCACAGATGTGAATAAGAAGAGAAGCGAGTATCTTTCTTGCCAGTTCCTTCTGAAGACTCTAGTTGCCACTTCTGAGAGCTCACTCCTTCTTTCATACCCTTCTGCATGTACCAGGAAAACTGTCTCGCCTCATGCCACAATTTTCTTCCATTTCAGGGGTCTAAAGCCATAATTCTGGTTTCTACTGTTGTTAACTTTGGCTTGCTAAAATCCCCCAATCCTTCTCCCCTGACCCCCTCTGCTCGACCAATATCTACTCATCCCTTCCTCCCCCCTCCCTCTCTCCTCCTCCCTTACATACGGTTGTCGGAAAATCACCACAAAGAGATCCAGCTGGATGAATCATCCTTTAGACACACAACTCTTCTCAGAGGCACAGATCTTTTGAAAGCTGGTGAGGACATCTGTCTCCACAGCAATTCAGGAGTTAATCCTCAACCAAACAACCCTGTGAAGTAATTTAGAAGTACAGGGTTCATTTTTTTTCTTCCAAAAACTGTAGGGGAAATGTGGAACACAGTATCTACATATCGCTATATTGAAAACTCCAGAGAGATCCCTCTGTTCTCCAAGCAGATGGAGATCCCACTCTATCAAAGGTTTTGTCTGTTGGCTCTTTTAATGAGGCTGGTGCTCCTGACTCTTAGGAGTAAAAAAAGAGAAAGGTAAGAATTTTGCTGATTCACAGCTTTCTGGTATTTCTGCTGCTCTGGGCCTGTTTTTAGGGGCTCATATGTAGTTTAGTTTTATGTAGTTAGTCTCAAATGTAATCAAATTTGTATTCTCTGAACTTTCATGTTCCACTCTCAGATGACTAACTCTTTGAAAGTCATTTTCAGGATCTTGAATGATAAAATGCCTAACTCTCCTGATGGCACCAAATCCCAGAAAAATCTAAATGAGTTGAAAAGAATTCTACTTCGTTACAGATTCTATGGAAGACGAATAAAAGAGACTTGAAGTTATGCTCAGTAGGGCATTTAAATAGTGTCTTAAAATTAATCACAGAAGATTGTTTAAAGCCTTCAGATTTTTAAAAGTCAAATAAGAACTAAACATTGCACAAGTAATAAAGGCGTCACGATTTTAATTCTAACTTTTAATATTTTCAGAAAAGAAGGTCCCAGACCAACCATTATATAAAAATATTCACCATGACTAAGAATTCTGGTCATTAAAGATCAAAACTATTTTATATAAAAATGTTTAAAAACTACTTCTGGCTTTGACCCTGGATCATTTTGTATAATAATAAAACTAACTTGCATCTGTACGGCATTTGTGAAGGGCTTTCTTTTTTTCTCATTTTCCATTTACATAGATGCTTGTGGATGAGTACAGATGTGGAGTGAAAGCAGAGAGGCTATATGACTTTGCTTAAGGTCATGCAAAAATTTCATAATATGGCAAGTTTAAAAATTCTCCTCTCACTCCCTCTTCAAAAGAGGAGTATGCTTCTTGGCCCCTTCTTTCCCTGAACCCTCAAAGGAGGGCCCAGCCTTGCCCCAGAGGTCTTCAGCAGTGGAGGATCAGAAGTAAAGGAAGATACAAACCATGAGAGTCTCTTAACTCTAGGAAAAAAACCAAGGGATGTTGGAGGGGTGGGGGTGGGGGGGATGGGGTCACTGGCACGTAATGTGATGAGCATGGGGTGTGAGATGCAACTGATGAATTACTGACCTCTACATTTGAAATGAATGATATACTATATATTGGCTAATTGAATTTAAATTAAAAGGAAAGAAGAAAAAGAAAGAAAGAGAAAGAAAGAAAGAGAGAGAAAGAAAGAAGAAAGAAAGAAAGAGAGAAAGAAAGAGTAAAGGAAGATAAAAGGGGAACTATAACTGGTATTTTGAGCTGAAGGCTGAAGCTAATTTGCACGGAGTGGGAGAGTTGAGAGGAAATAGATACAAGAAGAGCCAAGATATCAGACAAGTGTATAGGACAGGAAGAAACAAAGATAATTTTAAGATCCATTTCCAGAGATTATGTGTCCCCAGTAAAGAGATGAATTATTGTAAAGTTGCTCTTGGTCAAATGGGCTGTGGTTTCGTGCACCCTAACATTGCTCCAAACTATACCGTGTGGTTGCGTGTCTTCAAATGCTTCTTAGTAATATATCTTTGGCCTTCACAATATTTTTTTCCATTTTATCATAGTAACTCCATATCATGGAAGAAATCCCCAAAGAATTTCCATATAAATGGAAGAAACCCTCTTCTTTGTTGCCATATGATAATGACACTTCCTATTAGAGGTGACTGACTCAGAAGTCCAGCGTGAGGGGATGAGAACTAGACTGGGAAGAGGTAAAGATTAAACTCATACTAGATGTGTCAGCACATCTGAATAACCCAACAACCCCTGTCAGATACAAGTAGTAAATTGATTTATGAAGCACTATCATTGGTTACTGGCACTAATCAATTAAGTAATACGCTGATTTATTTATACATTCTACTAAGTTTCTAAGTAACAATTCAGATAAACTACATATGATACTTGCAGTTAGGAGTTCCAAGTTGAAAGAGAAGAAGGTGAAGAGAGAGACACAGAGATAATTAAAATAATGCAATCTAATATACTTTATAGTAGAGGAACATATCCATATGTGCTATAGGAATTCAAAGCATAGCGAATTGAGTGAGTAAAATAAAGGAAGGCCTCTCCGATGATATATGAGCTGGGTCTTCAAAACCAAGTAGATAAGAAAATGATGGAGAGAGAGTATACTCTATAGAATCATGGCTCTGCACAGCTATGGTGGCATGGTGTGTTCTTAAAAAAATTGCATATGCCTGGCAAGTGTCTGTGTAATGGAGAAGGGTGGTAAAAGCAAGGATAGCATTAATAATTTGCAAGATACAAAGTTGGAAAGTGGATTGAAACCAGATCAAGAAGAGTTGCAAAATTTTGCAAGTATATGCATATGCACATTTTCTTTAAAAAGGACTCATACTTTTCATAAATTGTCAAAGACCTTGTGACCATCCAAGAAGTTTGCGGGTCACTGCTAAAGGAAAAGGAGAATATATATTCCTTTTTAACATATATATTTGTAAATTCCTTATATTGATGAATACACCATAAATGTCATTTTAGATCATTCCATATTTTTCCACAATATAATTTTAATCCTGCCTAGAATATACATATATAAATACATATACATATCTGTGTCATATTTTGTCCAATCTCTTAATGTTGAACATTATTATTCCCATTTTTCTGTAAATATGATAAACATCCTTATAGCTAAATCTTTGCAAGCATTTGTAACCATTTAGTTATAATAAACTCCTGGAAATTTAATTGTTTGATCACATACTACATGCCTTTTTAAGGTCTTTAGTAAATACTGCCAAACCTCTCCCCAAAAAGATGGTGCTGATTTGAACTATTACTTCCACTGTATATGGTGTCTCTGTATACACTGGTCTGTAATCAAAAAAGGAAATTACACTTTTTCCACATTTTAATGTCCACTTGTGTTGTCATCATTTGGGTCCTTTGCCCTTTTTAGATTGGGGTGCTTTTCTATTACTTAAGGAATTGTAGGAGCTTACTTACACCTCTACTTACAATGTGAATTATTGGTCATTTTTGTTTGTGAATATTCACTCTAGTTTATTTGCCTTTCAGTTTGTTTTTGCAGTGGTTGATTTGCAGAAGTTGTAAGATTTCATTTAGACAGATCTATCAGTGTTACCCTTTATGAATTATGACTGTAATACTTAGAAAGTCCAGACCGATCCCATGATAATTTAAATATCTACCTATATTTTCTTCTAGAATTTAAAAGAAACCTTTGTCCTGTGGAGTTAGAGTGGTATGATTTTCCAGGTGTCCAGGTTCCACTGAGCTTCCTGAAACATCCAAACTAGACTCACCAGCTTCAAATGTCTCTTTATCTCTCAGATTTCTCTCTTACCACTTTTCCCTTGCTAACCACATCAGCATTCTCTCTAATCTTTGGACATGCCAAGCTCGATCCAACCAAAGGACCTTAATGTTTGCTATTATCTGGACAATGAGCATGGCTCACTCTTTTGCTTAGGTCAAATCTCCACTTAAGTGTTACCCACTTATTAAGCCTTTCCCTGAACACTCCATCTAAAATAAAATACCGGTCCAGCCCATTGCACTGTCTCCTCAGTCTGCTTTATTTTTCTTTATACAATTTAATTCTACCTGAAAGCATATCATATATGTGTGTGTATATATACACATACTTGTTTATTGTTTTATTTAGCATCATATGTTTCACATGAGCAGATATTTTGTCTTCTTTTCTTTTTTAAAGATTTTATTTATTTAGAGAGAGAGAGAGAGCACATGAGCACACGCCTTGGGGGAGGGGCCAAGGGAGAAGGAGAGAGAGAATCTCAGGCAGACTCCATGCTGAGCGCAGAGCCTGACTTGGGGCTAGATCTCACAACCCTGAGATCATGACCTAAGCCTAAATCAAATGTCAGATGGTCAACCTACTGAGCCACCCTGGTGCCCTGATATTTTGTCTTCTTATTCAATCTCTGTATCCCCAGTACCTACAGAGCGATGGGTGAATAGGAAGAGATCCATAAATACTTGCTAAATAAAGACAGTAGCAAATATTCATACCTGTTTGTATCTTTGTGAAATGTCTACTATGTTCCTCTGATTTATCCACCTATTTCAACACCAATTCCAAAATATGTAGCTTTATAATATATATTAAAATCTATACAATCCTCCTTATTCTTTCTAAATATGTCCATCTCTAGTCTACTGCATATATTCTTCCAAATGTACTTCATTTTTCCTATTTCCAAAAAAATGATATTTTAATTGGACTTCCATTAAATCATGAATTTATATGAGGAAAATTGACAACTAATATTTCTAACCATGAATAATTTTACATCTCTCCATTTAGTTGATTCTTCCTTTATGTCCCTCATTAAAGTGTTACAGTGTTCTTTGTGTAAGTTTCATACATTTCACTTGTTTTATTTCTACAGATTAGATAGTCTTGTTATCATAAAGGGAATATTTCATTCTCATTATTTCCTACCTGGTTAAAAATTTAGTATAAAAATTTCAACATATATCTGTTATGTTATATTTATTGTATAATTCAAATTTTATAACCTTATGCATATTTAATCTACTAAATCTATCAATGACTAGAACTTATGAAAAATATAATGTACTAATATAGTTCTGTCGGTTTATCCTTTCATTTC